TCCTCACTATAGTTTAAGTCCATGGAGTTACTATAATTGAGGTAAAATGCTCTAGGACAGGTGACAGGGCAGTGGACGAGGACATTAGAGAGCTATGTTGCATTCCTGGTTCTTGCGCGGGCCGGGAGCGATCCGGGCCCTTTTTGTGCTCTGCGCGGGCTGTGGCCAGCAGCCCGGGCACACGGGGTCGGAGAGAACGGGCGACACGCTAGAATTAGGCACGGACGCATAATGGTTGATTTAAAGATTATTTACTTACACCGAAGATGGTCGCAGCGTAGGCTGGAAAACTTGCTTGAGTTGCGGTTACAGATAGAAAAGATGAGAGGTGGACTAGAGTTCCTTCCCGTGAACACTCTTCTAGCCCGTCCGGTTGGAGGCTCTAAACCGCGAGCCCGTCGCACCAACCGAAGAAATTACTCGAACCAAAGAGCTCTGAATAGACTCACACGAAGTTTGCTAGGCTCCATGGATCTTTTTGTGCACAGGGAAGAAGGATACGTCGAGGATTGCGCTCGGTGACGGGGAGAGGCTAGAGGCTGATCAGACCCCTGTTGCCCGCTTTAAATGCGCTGGGTCCAATAGGCTCCGCAGCGCTTAGAGATCTTCACAAGACATGAAGTCTCCTCCTCCTGATGTTTGTGGAGTCCTCCAACTTGGGCGGAAACCACTCAAGCTTCTTATACGGCTAGCAAGCCAATCACTAGCCGCCACGTGTGAATAATTTAACTCAATCCAATAATGGGGCTCGAATTATCATATAAATGGCGGGAACTCTTTGCACCGAGCATTTCTTAGATGCAAAAAGAAATGCACCATGCAAAGAAAGCTACAAATTGGCGGGAAATTCTCCCTTGCACCGGGGTTCTCCTTTACAGCAGAAAGCTCCACCGTGCAAAGAAGCTGCAATTTAGCGGGAAAATAACTTAGCAGTGCCAAAGCGCGCACAAAAACAAAAATCACAACTTTGGGTTGTGACAGTTCTGACAAGAACTGTGATTTTTTTTTTTTTAAGGCAGTAACTCCATCTAACCATGCTTCAATTGCCTCTTTACTAAAAGGACGTAACTGAAATGCTGAGATAATTGAGGTAACAAATGCCGTTTTCCAAATTTGTGCTAATTATTTTGAGAAGAGAAACATGCCTGATATGTAGTATAGCAAAATATTACCACACTTATGACAATAGCTTAAGATCACAAAGGAATCCCCTGCAACCAAATATGACTTTCCTGTGGATTGTCATTGTGCTTTCATGGTTATGGGATTGGCAGTGATGGAAGATGAACATATTTGACCTGACAGAATGTTGTCTAGAGTCTAAATATAGCTCAGTAGAACAGTGGATTTCCACATGGCTTTGCTACTGTAGCCCATAGGAACTAAGTGAGAAGTAATTTGAACATGAGCAAAAACTGACAGTGGCAGAATCCTGAGAGCAAAGGTATAGATGTTATAGCCCGAAGAGACCATTATGACTATCTGGTCTGACCACCTACATCATATTAGGCCTTTACAATGCTCCTTGGGATGTTAAGTCAGTGTCTGCTGGCAAAACATTTCTCTTGGTACTTAGTCCCTAAAGTAACATTTCAGTCAAAATTACTGTTTCCTTGAAGTTTATTTTAACTTCCTTGCTAGGAGAAAAGGTAAGTGTCAACTATTTGAGTACAAAAGAAAAAGCTTTCAATACCAGCTTTTCAAGAAGTAAAAGTTGCATTTGAACCCTGCATGATGATGGATTTTTTTTTTAATTAATCTAAAATAGCTTAACTAGTAAATAAAGAATAAGAGAATCCAGGCATGGGTAGAGTTGATGATCTGATTGCTCTATTCCTTTTATAATTTCTTTGATTATTTTCCAAAAGGCCAAATTCAGTCCAGGTTTACCAAGACTTAGACTGCTGTGAAAGGCCTAAGTGGGAGAACAAGGAGAAAAACAGTACCAGCAGAGAAAGGGAGAGATTACATAGAGTATCCATGTAGCTCAAGTAATGGTCTGGACAGCACAGACTGGGTGACACTGGTTAGGGTATTTGGACATACAATAGCTAGATATAGTTTAACTGGATTGATTCTGTTCCTTCTTGTACTGTCATTCCATGGACCTCAGTGGAGTTATTGTTTTATAGCAATGAAAGAGATCCCATGGTACTGTGGACCCCTGTTTGAAAAGCTTCAACTAAAGACATGGGCCCTGCTTGTATTAAGCTTATTTCTATATCCCCTGTGCATTTGTCTATATGCATTTGTTTCTCAGTTAACCTTCTCATCTGGCCTGAGTTTAGCTTCAGCTGATAGATTCTGTCCATTGTGACTGAAGTCTTATGATTCCTCATTCTAGCATGTCAGGAAAAATATATATATCAATATATTGCTGCAAAAGCAATATCATCTCTGTTATTTGGACTCCTGTCCCTGAGGTTCTCTCAATTTCTTCATGGTGGGCAAACAGAATTTAGTCCTCTGCATACATGAAGAAATGGGCTCTGGGCACTTAATCAGTCAAATAAAAAAATCTGTTGTAGAGCCAGGAAAAGGTCCCAGCTCTCTTTTATGATGATTTGTGCCTCAACCATTGGAAACAAAAACAAAGAAGAATATTCCACAAACAAAAAAGGAGAGAGGGAGCTAAAAATTTATCTTGGTACTTCCAGTAAAGGATCTACTTAGTCACTTTTAAAATGTTCCTCCCTAAGGACTGGTTTCGGCATCCATGAAGAGCGGCTCTTATGTGTTGAAGAAAGGTGGCGGTGGAAACATCTCAGTGATTGTGATTGGAGGTGCAGAAGAGTCTTTGAACGCACATCCTGGAAGTTTAAATCTGAGCATCCTCAAAAGGAAAGGTTTTATCAAGATGGCTTTGAAGTGTGGGTAGGTTTCCCATTCAAATTGTTGGGTGGGACAGCATTTCTTTCAAAATGAAGCACTGATTCAGTACAGCTGCCAAATCTGAAAGGGTTATTTGTGCATTGACATTAGATACAGATGTTCGAAGAGTCAGTCCTGATATTGCTATCCTCTCTGATGTAGCAATGTAGGGGAAGTTGTGAAATCCCTTTTCATCTCATTTTCAGAAATAATTCAGAAGCAGTAGATGGAGGTAGACGCATCCTCATCTGACTTGTAAACCACAGTAGTAAAAAAATGAAACAGTATGTAGCAACATTTTCCAGTTTTTTGATTGTTGCTGAATCACTTGCATTTTCAGATTAGTCAATAGCAGTTCTGCTGACCCATATCCTGAAGTCATCACAGCGTCTGGCTTCTTTACTATTCATTCCATCCAGAAAGAGCACGTACCAACTGCAGAGACTTCCTCAGCCTGATGAAGGGTTTTTAAACCCAAAAGCTTGCTAAAATATATATTTTTTTTTAATTTTTTTTTTACGACTATTTAAGTATTTAAGTTGGTCTAATAAAAGATATCAGATTCACCCAAAGAATCTTGACTGCCTATGTCCTTAGACCAACATGGCTACAACCTACACCCCTGTAAAGGGACAAGAGCATTTTTCTTTCTTCAGTGGGATGTCTTCATTTTAGGGGATATATGATAGAAACCCTGATTTACCAAACACATAAGCAAAAATGCTGTGCAATAATCTGTTATGTGTTTTGTTCACAACATAAAGACTTTTGCATGACTTCCTATAGAGGGTTTTGCATAAAAATAAGTAGAATAGTAGGCATTCTCGGAGCATACCTAACACACACTGATGTGTTGCTTCTCGCAAAATGCAGTCTCTCTTCAATACAGGAAGAGGCGGTGGTGGCTCCTTCCTTTGTACATTGTCCCAGTAATTTGAATACAGAACATTCTGATATACAAAGAACAACACTTTTGAACTAATTTATAATTATTGGTATGGTATAACAAACTGTTCCCCTCTTAAACGTTTTTGTTTAATACAGTACTGTTTGTTTACTTTTATGTTTAATATTTTAACTTGTTTAATTGGTATTATATAGCAAGGTATTCCCTCAAGCTTTACTACTTTTAATATTTCCATGGTTAAATTTGGTTTGGGCTTTATATTGTGCAGTGTTTGGAATGTACAATTCCTCACAAGATGCTGCAGTTTCACTTTTTTGCCAGATGAATTCGGCTACCCAAATAGCTTTTCAGCAAGTGCTTTTCAAAGGGGTTCAAATACTAAAGAATGTGAGGGGCCTGGGATGCACTTTTCTCTCTTTTTTTTTTTTTTTCCTTTGGAGGCCTATGGATTCAATGCCTTCTCTCCCACTTCTATTGAGTACATGCCCTAGCTGTTGATGTCCAACAGGTGTCCTAGGAAGGTTTAAGGAGCCCCTCTCAGCAAAATCAAGTGCTCTTAAAGTAAATTAAAGGAAAATTAAATTACAAGCAGTATACTAATGATAAAACAATGCAAAGTGTGCATAATAAGAAAATGGTTACATTCTTGCATGGATCATAAATCTAAATAAAATAAAGAATAATTTAATACCTAAAACATACATTGATCTTCATTTTATTGAAGTTCTAAAGCTTCAAAAATCAAAAAACCAGTGGCTGACCTGTTATGGCAAATAACTTATTAACTAGCTTGCAAAGAAGTGCTGATCTTGGTTAATCTGCAGACAGAAAATTTAGCAGGAATAGGAGTTCAAGGCTGATGAGCAAAGATTCTGAGATGGGCCTGGCTTTTTTTGTTTTGTTTTGTTTTGTTTTTTTGCCCCCCTGATCACCTTGCCACACTTAAAGCTTGCTAAATAGAGATATATCTACCAGTTTTATGTGAGATTTGGATGTGCCTGATATGCCATCTACTCATTAATATTAATTTATTCTCTCTAAGGCAGTTAGATTACCTTTGTGTCATTAAAAAAATGTCTGTTTCTGTTACTGGTATAAACCTACCTCTGCAGTAAGACTGGATCTAACTGGCACAAAACCACCAAATTAGCTCTAGGTGACCCTAAACTGATCCCAAGCCAACTTTTTGCCTGAGTTTTAGTCTTCTTGCCTAGAACTTGCTCATTACCAATTTCTTTGCTTTTTCTTTCCTTCTGTATAAAGAGCCAAAGTCTACTCTCCTATTGAACTCCCGTTCATGTGATAATGTCTTTTCATGGAAGGGGAGGCTGGTTGCATGGTAATTTTAGGTGGTGTCTGAACTACTTAACCCTGGACTGGCTGCACATTAACACCTTTTTTAAGTTGCTTAAAACTCTCATTATTTGTTTTAAAGTTGGAGAAAACCCTGCCTTGGAGTGGCAGGACTATCTCCAATCTGCATAATTTTGTTCCTGTTTCATTACCATCTGGTCACTTCTCACAGGTATGCCACTCAAGTTGAAGCCTTCTAGTATCCCAGAATGCAGTGGTCCCTCCTGACTTGGCAAGTGGGGATGCCAGGGTGTAGCGGGGCAAGGCACAGAACCTCTCCCCCCAAGGGACATTGGGCAGAGGCAGCCCCAGAGCACTTGGTGACTGCAGTGCCTCCCACTGCCACTCAGACAGGCTCTGTTCCTGCTGGCCGTGGCATGGAGGGTGAACTCTGGAGAGAAAAAAAGCTCAGGCCCCTCAGAGCTCAGGCAGCACCTGGTGAGCCCAGCTGGCAGTAGCTCACAGGGGTGAGCTGCTGGCTGGCTGTGTGCCACTTGAACTCCCAGGGGCCCAATTCATCTTTTTCCTCTGGAGCTCACCCCCTGTGCCAGGCAGAGCAAGAGGATCCTACCTCATCCTTCCCTGCACAAGTGCAGGGTGCCATGGATACCTTGCCTGGCCACAGCGCAGCCTTGGTCTGCCAGGAAGCATCAAGCACAGGGGGAATTCCCCCATCCCCTGCTTGCTGCTGCCCAGGAGACCCAGGCTGCTGTGGCAGGGCAGGGTATCCCCAGCTCCCTGCACATGTTGGGGGAAGGGGACCCGCTTGCTGCTTCTGCTCGGCAGAGCAAGTGACTCCAGGGCTGCAGCAAGCATGGAGAGGGAGAAGGAGATCCCCTCCACCCATGCATGGAGCCAGGGGCACTCTACCTGTCTGGAGCAGAGCCTGGGTCTCCTAGAGACCAGAAAGCTAGGGGGAGGAATCTTCTCCTATTTCCCCCCCACACACACACACACATGTGCAGGGCACCAGCTCGTTTGCTGTTTTCTGGGAGTCCTGAATTGCTGTGTCAGTTCAGGGAGACCAGAGAGCTGCTTCCCCCAGGACTCTCTTGTCTTGCTGAACCTGATAACAGCTCTGTGCTGTGTGGGGCCATCACTGGCAACCCTACTCTCAGCATGGAGCTGCCACAGCTCTGAGACCACAGAGCCCTGGGGAAGGGCAGCTCCATGCTGAGAGCAGGGCCGCCAGGGCTTAAGCCTGACGGCCCCACTCTCAGTGCAGAGCTGCTGTGCCAGTTTTGGCCAAACCAGAGAGCCCCAGAGAAGCTGTTTTCCACAGGTCTCTCTGGTCTTGCTGCAACTGACACAGTGGTGAGCCTACTCTCTGCCCAGCAGGAGCAGTAAGCAGGTCCTCCTCCTAGTCCTGTCTCTGCTTGCCAAGCCTCTAGTGGCAAGTCACAGCTATGCAGGTGAAGGATTGTCAGAGCAGGTTTTTTGCCTTGCTGTGTGACTGTTCCACTAAACCAAACAACACTATGCTGATTTTAACACTTGTTCGGCTTGGAGCATGAGGTTTGACAAGGTCCAGGGAAATGGATCAGATCCTTTAAGCACTGAAAAAATGCGATTATTTGACAGAAGTTCCCCTGGAGGCAGGCTACTTCAGATCATACAAAATCTAGATACAGAATGAGAAACCATAATGATATATGACTAATAGATAAACTAGCTTCTTCTGAGTTTCACAACCAAAACTCCATGTTACTCATTTCTGTATGGCAGTCTTTTACAGCAAGTCTTGCAAACGTCTGTGCGTCAAAGAAGAAAACAAATCTGGGATTATTCTAGAGTATATTCAGAAATGCTATCACACAAGATTTGTCCTGTTCCTCATCAATGACCTAGCAAAAACTTGGTATCCTATAAATCCTCACTGTTTACAGAACCTCCAGTTGTTTCCTTCAAGGGTAATTGTATGACACAGTAGTGTCATGGATAAAAGGAAGCAGCTTCACAGTTTTAGGTTTGAAGATGCCATTCAGGATAGCAAATTCAAATAGGAGCAAGGAAGATGGGTCTTGTAAATCCCAAGATTTTATCAACCAAGAAAGTTGTGTGCTTTGCATAAGCAATTCATGCTTGTGTTACATGTCAGCCAACTTCACCCTTGCTTCAGTAAGATTAGCTTTCCTGATGTCATGAAAACAGGTATGAAATTGTCACCTTGAGTAATGTAGAAATACTACTCCTTTTTAAATCATGTGCCATAAAGATACCGTCAAACATGGCATATGATGGAACATGCCTAGGATACTTAAAGATCATTTAGGAATCTAGCTTAAGAAAACTGAGAGGTATGAATCTTTTGAAGGAAAAAAAAAAACTTAAGATCATTCTGAGATTTTGTTCTTGTTGGGGGGGGGTTGTGTTTTTTTGTTTGTTTGTTTTGTTTTGTTTTGTTTTTTTAATTTTATAAGGCAGTATTTTAGTGGTGTTCTGCTTATTCAGCAACCATGTAAATTCACCAGATTGAGATCTTAGCTGTGCAAAATCCTTATTTAAACCCCTGGCTGGCATTTCACTCCGATAACATTAGACCTTAGATGAAGATATTCAACCCCTTGTTGGTCTTGGACCCCATTCAGGAACAAAACAAAATCATATGAAGTGATGTAGCTGAATTGTATATAGTGGGGTTGCCAACGTGCAGCTTAAGTGCCACATATTGTTTAGGCAGTCTGTGGGTGTTGCACATGTCAGGTTTAAGGAGGGACCAGGAGGCAGAGTGGCAGATAGGGCAGGGAGCAGAAAGCAGAGCAGCAAATCAAGCAAGGGAAGGGGATCAGAGTGGCACTTGGGGAAAGTGTGGGGCTTAACCTGTGGCATGTCTGTCAATAAGGCTGCCCCCCCCCTACTGCTCTAAAGTGTCTTCTGCAGGCAGGATTTGGCATCTACTGTTAGAAGATTACGGCTGGAATTTTTCAAGGGAACTACAGGGAGTTAAACATCCAAATCCTGTTAAAATTCAGAGAGAGGTGGGTGCCTTCCCCCAAGCCAAAGAAGGTTGTTTTGTTTTTCTTCCATTGCCTTAAGATGCCTTTAGCAATTGTTTTTGCTGGTGCTCAGAAATTGCATTGGCTATGCCAACTGAAAAGCAGATGAAGATCAGACTGTCTCCAGCCATCCAGGTTGGGGTTTTTTTGTTTTTTTTTCTGTTAAACTGAATATAATGCACTCATCCTAAAAGCTATGTTTCAGTGAAGGCATGAATGCATAACACATACACTGAATGTTATCACTCCCAGTGATATTTTCTGCATTTTTTTTTTTTTTATGTGAAAAATTTATCATGCTGTGGATGCGAGTTGTAAATCATGCCTGTCGGTGTTGCATTGTTTTAATTTTTATCCATTTTTACAAGGGCTCATCTGGTCCCAGTATTTTCGTTTGGAGAAAATGAACTGTTTAAACAAGTTGCAAACCCCAAAGGATCATGGCTCAGAAACTTACAAAGTAGAATGCAGAAAGTGATGGGGTTTGCTTTACCACTGTTTCATGCCAGAGGAATCTTTCAGTACAGTTTTGGCTTGATACCTTACAGGAAACCTATTCACACAGTTGGTAAGTTCCTTGGCAATTGCCTTATTCTTGTGTGGATGCTTTGATATGTGTTTGTGGTTAAATTCAATAATTTGTATTCCTTCACAAATCTGCTTTAACAGAAAGAATTGGTTGCTGTTCTTCTAAAGACAAATGTGTGAGCTTTGAAATAAATATCTTTCCTGGTATCTTTTATCCTGTTTTCCTGTGGAGGAAGGGAAAATAAAAATAGTCAGAAAAAGTAAGGGGTAGCTGAACTCTGCTTTTGGAGTGGCTGCTACTGAGAATGACACCCTTTAAAGCTCAGTCATGCTGTGAGTTCTCCTAAGGCAGTAGTTGGCAACTGTATATTTTAAATGAAGCATGGTTAGTACAATGAGATTTCATGCCTCTAGTTGAAGCCTGCTAGTCTGTATTTTGTGTGGTCTATTTCATATCCCACAAATATATTTAAAACCCTGAATTTAATTTGGGTAGGAGGTTCTCATGATATACAATCAACATGTATTTCATGGTGTTCCAATTCAGTGAGATGATGACTTTTCTCCTGCTGGACCAAAGAAGCAAGGTGATAACTTGTAAATTCTATAGGCCTGGTGGCTTTGGGACCTCAATGTGTATTTTCTCTAGGTGTTTTATGGCCTCAGACTAGCCCCTAAGTAACAGTAGAATTAATTTTTTCAAACCTCAGTCAAACAACCTTTATGACAGGTTAGCAGAATCTAATAAGCCAGGAGATCTTCCATTTAAAAAACAAACACTCTAAATTTGTTTCAACCAAAAAAGTTAAGTACTTTTCAAATAAAACCTTTTTTTAGTAACGTTACCACTTTGTGTGCTATTGCACTAAATAAGCTCCGATTTTGAAAATGTTAACTAACACCCAAAACAGGGTGCTAAGCTTACCAAAAATTTGTGCATATTGTATACGGTTTATTTTGAGAGAGAGGAAAAATTGATGCATTTAAATTTTAAAAGGTACAAATGAGAAGGTTCCTTCCCTGCCTCCTTACATGGGAACACTCGAGTACACAGCTGCATGGCAGGATGACAGCATCTTTACAAACTTTTAGAGCCAAGAATGTCTTTGTTGCAAGCCACATTCCCCTTTTTTTGTCTTGATAGTTTCTGTAAGGACAAGGATAGTCTGTTGCACAAGGAAAAGTAGTTAGCCATGTTAGTCTGAAGTCAGGCAGAAGGCAGGGTAGATATGTACCTGATAGACTAAATAGTTAGCACAAGCTTTTGTGAATTTGAATTCACCTCATCAGATACTGTGAAAGAACAGCACAGAGCAGTGTATGAAGTGGAGTGAGTGATTTGAATGCAAAAGGTGTGAAGAATAGAGGGGAGGATCATTGGGAGACGCATACAAGCAAAGAATGAAATGGTCACCAAAGCTAATCCAGGTAATGAGAGAGGAATCCATAGGCCCTATTTAAACCTTAATTCAGTCTGTGCATGATTTCTTGTTCTGCAAGTTCCCATTCAAACTTGTTTTTAAATTTTTGCTTCCTGCTGGGTGGGTGGGTTGGTTGGTTGGTTTGTTTATAACAGAGTATTAGAAAATATTTAATCCTGTAATTTACTTAATGCTGTCCAAGTACAGAACATACAGCATGGTGTAAAAGGCTCTGATTTGTACTGTTCTTTTCCTTTAAACCTATTTATTATTATTATTATTATTATTATTATTATTATTATTATTATCTATTCCTTCAAACCTACTAGTTTTTTACTGATTTAAGAAGTCAGTAAGAAGCTCAGCGTTCTTGATGCTGTTGGCATTTGTTTCTGGGTACAGCAGAAGGCATGCTACTTCATTCTCTTAAGCACAGACCATGTTGCAATGATCCATCATAAAATATAGTCCCTGGCACATGTTCATTTATTGGAGCAATGAGATATGATTCTTGACCCCAACAATTTGTGTCTCCTACCATGCCATATGTGCATTATCAAAACCCCACACCCAGGGACAGGGGAGTCAAAATGTTTCCTCTACACTCCTAGGAGCCTCTGATCCCCTGTGTTGGATAGCCTAGCCAGAGGTGCCAGGTGTAGGGTTTAAAGTTCCTGGCAGGGAAGTCTGGGGAAGCTGCCTCAGCAACACTCTAGAGCTCACCATGCAGAAGTTTCCTTTTTCCCAGTTGTCTGTACCCCACATGGTGAAGGGGCACCTGCAGCTGTGGAATAAAGCTCTCAGATCCCCAGCTGTTCCTTCTATGGCACTTTACTAAATTTAGTAAAGTGGGCATGCAGCAGGACCCCCAGCTGCATGATTGTTTTTTAAAGGTTCAGGGTTCACCGAGCCTGAGATCAAAGAGATGCTCCCTGATGGTGGGCCCCTGGCACCCCTTACATCTGCTCCAAGTATTAGACAGGAGATCTGGTCCAAGACCTGATGTTGCCCACAGCCTAATCCCATTGATCAGGTAGGAGATGGATACATCCCAGGCCCTAGGTTTGCCAATGCCAGGTCTTTATGCTCAGATGAGCATTGGGATCTATCATGGGTCAGCCTGGACACACCACATTCCATTTAAGGCATGATACAATGTGTAACACACTTTGGCTTATTTGGATGTGGAATATCTTTATGGCTTGTTTGGTATATTACACCATAAATAAGCTTTAATGTGTGGCTGGCTTACTATTTATGGCATGATTAACACTTTACTTCACCCTAAATGTAATGCATGCCAGGGCCCTATGTCTATACAGCAAGCCTCTAGAACAAGTCCAGGAAAGAGAAGCCCACAAATGACTCCATCTGCTAACTTGGCAAGAGTGCTCAGGAGCACACCTCAGTTCTTGGGACTGGTCCTCGGCACATGCCCCATAGGATGCAAAGCCTCCAAGCATGTGGTGTACTCTCAGGGCTGCTTCTGAGCTCTCTGTGCTGCCAAATCTGTGACTTCTTCAGGTATGCCTGGAGCTAGCGGGGCTTATTTCTTGGTTGTGCACCTGGACTGACTCTGGAGGCCTTTTAGGCCCCAAGCTATGCTGCTGCAACTCAGAATGCCTATGCAGAAATGCCCCAGCACTGAGATAGGTAACTTAATACAGAGCACAATAGCTATCAACACTGCCACCAAAGACAGGCTGCTCAATGCTCTTACCAATAAACAAGCCTTCCACAGGAGATCAGGTCTAACTTACAGTCTCGGTGCCCATTCAATGGGAGCAGGATCAGGAAAGAAGTATGTTCTTTGGCCACAGGTCAAAGCCACCAGAAAAACAAAGTCAAAAGGCCTGGTTCTCTTTTCACCATGGTGCAAATTAACTGAAACTCTACTGCAGTCCACTGGCTCTTCCCTCTGATATGTTATGCTTATCTTGCACCTGATACAACTCATGTCATACTTTTATATCTGTGTACAAGGCAGAGTAGGATCAGACCCATAGAGAATGTATGACTAGTACAAAATAAGCAGTTCTCTTAAACTTGAAATAGACCAGCTTTGTAGGGGTTTGCCTTAATGCCAAATCAAGAGTAGTATCTTATAGCCATTTTTATATAGGTTTTGGGGACTATATAAGGTGAAGGAAAGTAGCAATTTGAGCAAATGGAGTTTGTGTGTGGAGGGAAAAAAAGATTTCTCATCTCCCTGCCACCAAATGGGGGGCTGAGAGCGGGTGGAAATCATGGTGTGTTATGAGGGTGTGGATTGGGATCAAAATGTCTACAGATGAGGAAAGCTGTAGTTCTGTGATCTCTTCATCTATCATGCGGCTCACTCTTCCCTGTCATGGCAGTACACTTACCTGTAATAAACAGATGCCATTGTCACTGACATCATTCCTTTCATATTTGTTTGCAGTGGGGAGCCCCATTGCTGTGAAACAGAGCTCGAATCCTACAGCTGAAGAGATTGAACAGCTGCATCAGACCTACTTGCAAGAACTAAAAACATTATTTGAAGAGCACAAAGGAAAATACGGGATCCCACAGCATGAAACTCTTGTCTTTGAATAACTGAAAACTCAGGGAATCTAGGTCAAAGGAAAGTTGCCTCTGTAATTGTTCTTGTATAAGACTACCCTGTGCGTGTTGTATGTGTGTCCATTAGGATGGGATTAGTGGATATTCTCTCATTTTTAGTCATGGAAAACACCCTAATTCATTTGGGGTCTGATCCTGCATCCCATCAGATGCGAGTGGTCCCTATAGGTTCATCTGCAGGCAAAGTTGTTGGTACTTTTCCTACCATTGGCTTAGATGCTATGCGGGTAAGAACATCATTGTAGATGGGATACAGATGTTCAGCACCAGATCACCTAAGCCTCTTGACTGATGGAGCTGCACCAAAATGAGCTCAACAATGATGCTAACAAACTGGGCCCTTAACTTCAGCTGCTTTGTTCCTGATGCATTACCAAAGGAATATCTTGATGTTGGGGCATTAACCAAAGTTCTTTTCAGTGTGGCATCAAGTTGCTTTCTGAATATCAAGAAGTACATGTGCTAGCCTCTGAAGGAAAAGCTGTGTATTTCAAGTGAATGGTCATCAGGAACCAAATGCAAATACACAAACATGGGGACAGTTTGTGGTTGCTCTTTTTCAAAATGGTGTTCTCAGCCTATAAGCTACTATACAACAGGTTCATCTCATCTGAGAGGGTTGACAGGGTTTTGTGGAGGGAGGTGTGTGTGTGTGTGTGCATGTATTGGGTGGTGGGGGAGAGATCTAGATAACTTTTTTTTTTTTTCCAGTAGAGACTACATTTTGGGTCATGGGTTTCCCAGAAAAAGTTGCTGTATTTTAGAAGTTCTGTTCTCAGGAAATGGCAAGCATTGTACTACATGGGAGACAATCTGCTTCAGAGACCAGGAGGGATCTTTGATTTCCTTTCCACCCTTCCTCCTACAGACTTCATTTTACAAATTATTGGAAGACTCTCTTAGGGCAAACATCCTTAATACACAGTCTTGTTCAGTTCAGTTCAGTTCTACACCAAGGAAGATGTAGTCCAGAAGCTAGACCAAAGGACTGGGAGTCAGAGTGTGAAATTTTATTCCTGC